TGTGCCTTTTGCACGGGAGCTGATCCCGGGCGGCTCAGAGGTCGAGCAGGATGGGCTGTGCCTGCCTGCAGAGGAGCAGAGACGTCCATCCTCCTCACTGCCACGCAGCTCTGCTCCCCACCTAGAGAGCGGACACAAGGATCTCATGAAAGACCCCTCTTGTAGGAGGGGTCCCAGCATGGGGAAAGCCCCTGTCTCCTGGGCTGAGGGCAGCTGGTGAGCCAGGGAGCCAGCGCCCCGGTCCCAGCACTGGCGGGAGGGCTTTCATCTGAGAAAAGGCGGATGTCACGCATGCAGAAGAGTTAGTCATGTGGGAAAAAGGCTGCTCGAGGGATTAAAAGGACTATTTGCCCAGCCCCCAGTTTGAAGCACGAGGAAGAGGATCTGGGATTGCCCCCCAGCGATGCCCAGGTGCGGCTGCGGCAGCATGGCCCCTCTCCAAGCTCTACTGCCGTATCAGGGCGATGTGCAGAGGGGCTGAAGCCACCCCCGGGCTGTCCACTGCCTCCACAAAGCCACTTTACGGGGACTCCTCAGAGCAAGGATTTGCCAGGTATTTAACTGATGTAAGCTGCTCTTTGGCAAACGGCAGAGGAGCTGCAGCTGCAGCCCTGCGCAGGCGGTGGGGTGCTTGTCCCATGGCGGCTTGTCTCCCCGGGGGATGCTCCAGGCCAGGCAGCCCCAGTGCCGTGCAGCCACAGCCCTTCAGAGCCCCTCTCTGCAAATCGATCACCGAGTAATGCTTATGTCTGTCTTTTATGCACTAGGCAGAATGACAAAGTATAGCAGAGAGCTTAAGCAGTGCTCCTGCCTGGAATAATGGCCTGATAATGGTATTTTAAGGGTGTGTGGTCCCCAATACGCAACCCAGTGGTTTCTTATCGAGGCATGCCCTAAATGCAATTCTCTGTTATTGCAGTCCTAGTTTCATAGCACAGCTCAGCCAACAACACGAGTGATGAGGCAGAAAACTGCTCTAACAGAGCCAGGGAACAGCTGAACATTGGTGGGCAGCTATTTAAGCAGATACCAGACAACTCTGGGGACTACTGGACTGGGAATATGAGGTAGGAGCTGGGAGCCGCAGCTCACACTGCACACCCAAGGGGTGGAGGGGAGGACTGGCATACTGGAGGAGAACGAGCCTGCGCAATCATGTCAGGGTACCCACAGCCTTTGCACTGTAACGGTGGCAAACTGACGTAGCTCATGTTCCTCCGAGCCAAGCAGGCTGGCCGCCATTGTATACAACAACATATTCGATCAAGAACAGATTTTAACTCCCAGTTGCTTGTCTCCTATTACCCAAACCCAACAACTGCTGCCTCACTGCCCTTGCTGGAGGTTTGGATTTCCTGAAAAGGCTCGAGGTACTTCCC